GATTCTGAGGTCATGTTGCCAGCTCAACAGGAAAGAATCTGGGATGATTATAATGTCTACCAAGGTCATGTGAAGGGGGAATAGCAGCACTTGCACCAGCTTATTGCCTCCCTTTTGTGTAGATGCATTCATCTCCCTGAAGAAAGCCTGGTTATTGCACATGTGACCAGGAAGATGATACCAGAATATCAGGAATAAGGGCTGCTAAAGCAAACACGGTGGCATAACTTAACGTCAGCGTCCTACCCTTCTCTCATTAATTTGTTAATATGTGCTTGAGTTGTCAACCCAATTGACAAAACCCTTTCTCTTTTAATGACGGAGAGTACTATGCAATAGAAATTATTGTGGTGAAGGAAATGTTCTATATCTGCACTTTCCAATGTGGTAGCCACTAATGGTAGCCACATGTGGCTATTGAGCAGTTGAAATATAGCTAGTGAAATTGAGGAACTGAAATTTTATTTCACTTTAATTTATGAAAATTTCAACTTAAATAGCCACATTTGGCAAGTAGCTAACATATCAGACAGCCAATATGTTTATGGCTAAATGTGACTGGAATCTGCTTAAAATGTTGATGTAAATCCAAAAGGATGGGATCCAACTCTGTTTTGTTTATTGAAATATGCTGAAAGCCTACAACACTGCCTGAAACACAGCAGATGCTTAATAAATATTCATTGAATGCATAAATGACTGGATAAGACTTCAAGTCAATCCTGAGGTATGTATAGTTTTGCAGCTTTTGGCTTTTATATATCATGAAAGGGAGATACATGTACTATCACAATTAAACACTCTCTCAGACTCAAACCAGTAACCCAGCCCTCATTGACCTAAGTAGAGATAATATTTTCCATAGAGCTTCAAACAGATAAAGGGTCAGTTTAAACAATTTAAACATGTTTAAATTCTGCATTGTGAATACTCTGAAATCTCCTCAGCCCCTAACCTGAAAGTAAGAAAACAATTCATTTTAGAATTGACACATCAGGTACTCTGAGAGAATACACTATTTGGGGCAAAACTTCTCTATCATGACAGGAAGATGGCAGGGACAATATCATATTTATTATCAAATCCACTGATGGAACTGAGTTTAAGAGCTCTTTTTGGAGATGACAAAGAAAACACTTAATGTCTTTCTTAAAGTGAAGGGAAGTATCCCTAAAAAAAACACATTTGGCATATATAACTTTCAGCACCTTGGAAAAGTCACGTGTAATATTCCACAATACCAGCATTTATTTGCCCCAAAACAGTTATGAGAAGTGGCAAAAGCAGAAAAGCATCACTAAAGAAACAGATCAAAGAAAACAATGATGAATTCTGTTCCAAATGAGATGGTATTTTTTTTTTAAAAAAACTACTGATAATATAGTGTGAAGAACATTCCTTTTCATTAGTAATAATAAATTATAAATATTTTTGCTTTGTGAATCCGATGCCAGTAAGAAAATATTCCAGAGGGAACTAGGGCATTTTGCCTGCCTTTGTGACACATGCTATCTCAATAACAATACAACAAACCATTATGCAGTGCTATTTGAAACATAAATAAAACCTCTTCTGAGTACTTTCTTCTACTTTTCAATACTTGTGGGGACATCTGACCTTGAACTGAGAGTCTCTTCTGAAAATGTTGTCCACATGTCTGAAGTTCTCCCCCTCACACATGTACTCTGCCATCCACTTTCAACCAAACCATCTAAATTACATTCAGATTTTTGTGGTATCATAATAACTTCAATATGGGATATATTTTCAACATTCTGGTCAGACTCCTTTCTTCCCCGCCTCACCCTCCCTCCAAGTTATTTCAGGTTTGCATATTTCATTTTCACATCTCAGTGGGATACCCATCACACAACATTTATTTGTGAGGTCTAAAGGCATAATGTGGGGGATTGTGAACTAGCATGTCAAAACCACATACTGCATGCGTACGTCTTAAAGAATGAAAAAAGATTCCTTTTTTCCCCAGATATATAAGCTGTCTCAACAGTATAAGTCCAAAGTGAATACCACAACCTAATTAAAGATGAAGAGCGTAACAAGCAGTATTAAAATGTCTTTCTTGATTCATTCTTCTCCAAGTTATGTTTTTATCAAATGTCCTGTCTCATTAATGACTTTGATGGACATAACGAGTATACACACCTTCTAATCTCACCACATTCAGAAGAAAGTTGAAAGAATTTTCCCCACACTGCTTTGGGAGGTATGACAGCAGAGAACCCGGTGGTAGGGCAGAAAGAAGCTTTGAAAAAATGCCTCGTCCATTCACCTGCCTACAGGGATGAACATACTACATACTCCCAGCAGAATGAGGCTGTTTTTAAAGATCTCTAGATTCGGAAATACCACAATCTCTCTGGGGACTCAATCCCTACATTTGAGAACCTTTATTTCAAGGAAATTCTTCCTCTGGGTCTAACCACACTTCAGGAGCATGTGAGCTGTGCGGTCGCACAGGGCCCCATGTTCAGAAGGGCCCCACACTTGATTTAATGCTTTGCCATCGCCATCTTGAAATTCTTAATAATGTTATCTTTGAACTTGTGTTTTGTAAGTGAAGTCCGATGGGACAGTGAAGTGTGTGTGAGAAGGGAAGACATGCCCGATATGCGTGGCCTTCTCCCTTTCTGCCCCATAAGCTTAGAATTCCATGGCCCCTGAATGAGTGGGAGTCAGGGAGACTCAAAGCAAGTACAAGGAAGGCGTGTTACATCTAGACTGATTAAGTGAGGCATTGACAGCCCTTCAAGGCTTTTCATTTGCACCAAAACTTGTTTTGAATGAAGAAAGAAACAGGAATGACCAAGGCAGTCCATTATACTCCTGTTACTTCCCTGTATTATCCAACTATTACACTGAAAATGGTAACAGAAGGAAGGGGAAATAGAGTAACACAGAGCTCCTTTTCCTTTCTCTCCTTCCTTACTCATCAGTAAGCTGAAGGTGGAAAGTGTTGGTAGATGTGTGCATATCAAGAAGTGAAATAAAAACAGTTAATTTTGTGCAGTGATTCACAAGTTCTTTAAGAACAAAATACATATGCATGCATGAGCTACAAAATACAAATTACATAATTTTGGTGATTCTGCATATAGGGTCACTGCTCTTATATTTGTATGAAAACTGGCATGCACACTCTAAAGATTGAGGGTAAAATTCATGCTAACAACTTAAATTTTTAATTTTTCTTCATTAAGAACAACATAAAATAGTAAATAAAGCACCATGATGAGAGAGAGATGGCAGAAAGTAAAAAGCTTTGTTTTAGTATCTGTTTTAACAACACGTTAGCACTTTTCTCTACTTTTTTGAACAGGGGATCTACATTTTCATTTTGCACTGGGCCCTGTAAGTTATACAGCTGGCCCTGCCCTGATCCTTCATGCTCCAGATTATATCTACTACCTCTGTTCTGCCAAGTCAGCTCTTATTAGCTTTCACCCTTCTCTCCAGTCATTCACCCAACAAATATTGACTGTGCTATGGTCAGGCATTGTGCCAGACGCTGAGAAAATAAAAATGAGTAAGATATAATTCCACTCTATTCCATTATCTCATTTAATTCTTATTTAATATTGCATAGGTCCTATTATTGCTTCCAGCTTAGAGCTAAAGAAGTAGAGATTTAGAACAGCTAGAAAACCTGATCAGAAGGATTTTAGCATCAAGTGGTGGAACCAGGAACTGAGGCCACCCACGTCTTTCTGACTGCTAAATCTGAGTTCATAGTTATCATTCTTGCTAATACACTCCCAATTGTATTGTTTTCTATTACTACAATGTCCCTATTCCTAGCATCTCAAAAATCAATTTTAGCAGTAATTTTATTTTCTCAATCTAAGAAAAAGGTGTACTCTAAATTTTCTTGCAATTTATTTATTAGTATTTTGTTTAGGACATAAAATATAGTTTGATTTTTTTTTTCATCTGACAATCCTTAGAAAATTACATTCAACTGACAAAGCCTGTGATTTTCAAAATCTTGTTCATGACTTTGTTTGCTAAAATACAGTGTATTGGTTAAAAATATATGCTTTGAAAGCAGCCAGACCTGGGCCCAAATCCTGGCTCTACCACCCACTAGTTTCCAAAAGGTACTTAACTCTCAAAGCCTAAAATTTTCATATATAAAATGGGGATGAAAACAGTACCTTAACTACCTTACCTTTGGCCATTTTACGATTAAATGAGATAATTCTTGTGAAACACTTAAAATACCACCTAGTGCCTACCTAGTAAGCACTCAAAAATGTTAGTTTTAGTACTATTATTTTTAGTCCTATGTTCTCATAGTTGTGCTTAAAAATGGATTTGAAATGACTTTTTTCTTGAAATGGTTTCTTCCAATACAGAAAATAAGTCCAGGGATCTCTAATTTCCAAAAGTATATTATTTGTTTGTATATAAAAGCATGCAAAAAGTTCCCCCAAAATGACACCTGGTAGTCATATAAAGCTCTAAAATTCAAGGGCTCTAAGATGTTTTTACTCATATAATCTTTCACCAAAAACTCCAAACATGAACCCTCATTTTCCTGTTTGGTTCTAAACTGCCTACTTAAAGAGTCAAGAGTAAAGGAGTTTATACATTATATACAAAGAACTATATAAATGTAACAAAATATTCCTGTCATTTAACAAGGCTATCTCAGCTCTCCCTAACCCTTGAAGTAACACTTAAATTTAAGAACATTGAGCAAATTAAAATGGCTGAACTGTTTTCTCTGGTGGAAAAGGAAAGGATTAGCTAATCTGAAGGTTTACTGCCATCACTCAGGCAGTCAAATGACTATTTCCCTGGCTTCTAAGTGATTGAAGAGCACATAAAAAATAGACTGAATACCACATAAAAATGGACTATATACCTATTTTTAAAATAGCTCTAGAAAAAAAGGCCTTTATTTGACATTTTTATTATGGTTTAAGGAAAAGAAAAACAGGATCTCGGTTAAAAAAAAAAAAAAAGCCTCCATCTGATACCTTAGAAAACATGATAGCCATGTGAGATCTTCCCAAAACCACACTCTTGTCAATAATGATGGCTGTTACCACTGCAGGCTTGTGGGTCCTTACCAATTCTTGAGTGTCTTGCTGCAGTGGCAGAAATGCTGCTTCCAGAATAGCAACCTGGTCAGGACTAAGCTTCTGCCACAGCCCAATCAGCAGAATCACCAGCTGGGTGGCACTTCGCAGCTTGGCGAATGACTGGAACAGATTGTCTTGGTTTTCCTCTACTGCATCTGCTAGAGCGATTACCTGCAGAAATGACCAACTTCAGTTAGGGATAATTTCACAATTCTTGAGCCCTCAACAAATTACATTTGGCACACTCTTGTTTTTCTTTAAAACAAATTGATGAACTTTGTCTCCCACAAACACAAGCTATGTTGAGTAATAAAATAGTTATCATTCATCTGTTCACTTCCTTCTTTAAAAAAAAAAAAAATCCCTAAGGTAATTCCAAACCCATATGGCCAGGAGATGAAAATATCCATGAAATCAGCTTAATGGGGACCTTGTTCTGTGTCTGCTTCACCATCAATTGACCTTCTACAATATATGATAATATAAGTAACCTCAAATACGGTTACAATAGTCTTTATTACAAGCCACAGAGACTGATTAAAAAATAACAAAATAACCGCATTTGCCACGTAATTTAAAATAATGACTTCATTACACACTCTTCAGAAAATAACTGCCTCTGATTATTATTCTTTACATGTTACATGATGCTGGGATATCCAGTATTTCTTTATTATAACCAAAAGGTAGATAATGTTCAAACATTTGACCAATTGAGTAATGTCATTTTTAACACAAATGTCAGACACTAGCCCACAGGGACCTGAAAGAAAAAAAAAGTGCTCAGGGTGTGTTAGCTTTACAATGCCAAATCTACTTAGGATAAAATTGGCAGGAGTAGAATTGGGTTTGTTTTGTTTTGTTTTGTTTTTATCCTCTTGAATAATCCTATGGAAAAAAGAACTAAAGCAACAATTGGATGGAACATCCAAGACTGCCCATTGGTGTTTTATTTTAATGTCTTGGTGAATTTTGTGCTCATTAAAAGTAATGAACTGACTGGCCCAGAGGGTCAAGGCGTCTGACAGCCCCCAGAACAGGAATAGTAAAAGCCAGGGCAATGTGAGCTCCTTTCTATCAGTCCCTGCCAGCTTGAGGAACTAGAGCTTAGATGACTTTCAGAACTCTAGTGCACATGAACCATTTGGTGATATTTCATGGCTTATTGACACTGGCCCAAAGGGCTTGTTAAAAAATCATCAAACAAGTAAGAGTTTACAGCTGTGTGGTCTCCCAAATTCCATGTAGCAACAGGGGCTGTAGGGGGACAGTCCTCAGAATATCTGGGAGATGCTGGAAAAGAGATACAGGTTCAGAAAAGACAAAGCGATTGAAGGTCCTTGCCTGACAATGCTGGGCAGACCAAGATTCTTTGCCATTTGGTTGAGGGGTTGCAGGAGATAGAAAAGACAATCACAATTCACATTCAGTTCTCCAGGGAGCCCTGGGAGTTTGGACCAAGGTCAGCATTACAAAAAAGTGCATTGTTTACTATGTACCTAATACTGTGCTACTTCCTTTCCATAGGTGTTCAGAAAAGTACATGCTATCTTATAGTCCATAAGGATCTTATAATTTGTTGGACAGGAAACATACATACACAACCAATTAGTGGAAAGAAACATTACTGAAATAATGTCCTAATTGTGCAGAACAGAAAATAAGTGTAAAAGAAGTTAGCAAAGGGACACATTACTATCGGCCAGAGTTAATAGCCCTGAGGCCTCTTTTACTCAAATGAGGCTTGGAACTCATCCCTTCCCTATTCCTTCAAGAAGTCCCCTCTAAGAGACAGAGCCACTTTCCTTAAACCAAAACACCTGGAATCATCTGCTTCTTCCCCCACCCTCACCATGATTACAACTAACTCCTATTAAAGTCTGTGTTTATATTTTTTTCTTCCTGTGAGTGTTACCAATTAAGCCTCATTGTGAGGACCATCATATAATGACACAGATGCTTTATTGTTGATAAGCCCAAATCACACAAAGATCAAGGTCATAAACACCTCCTAAGTGCCAGGTATATGCAAGAATTTGCAGGAAGCACTCTAGGGAATTCAATGGCGACAGATCTAATCTCTACCTTCAGAGAGTTTATAATGGAGAAAGGAAAAAACTTCAGAGGCAAATGTTGACATTGTAGGGAAGACCCTATGAATGATAAAGGAGAATGACATTAATATAATTGTTAGGTTAATAATAATCCCTGTAATTAAGTGAGCACAGACTACATGCCAAACATTCTGCTGTGCCATACAGGTGTCAGTGCCTTCAATCCCCACACCTCCACCCACTTGGAATGATCTTTATTTTACAGATGAGGCCTTTAAGGCTCAGCAGATGTAAGGAATTTGTCCGGTACTGTTCACAGGGATGCAAAGCCCATGCTTAGAAGGGCTCCGTGCTTGGTTTAATGCCCGGCTGTCTCTGTCTTGAAATTCTTCTTCTTTTTTTTCTTAGAGAGAGAGCGTGAGCAGGGGGAGGGGCAGAGGGAGAGAGAGGGAGAATTTAAGCAGGCTTGACACCCTATGCAGAGCCCAATGTGGGCATGATCTCGTGACCCTGAGATCAAAACCTGAGCTGAAATCAAGAGTCAGACGCTTAACCAACTGAGCCACCCAGGAGCCCCTCTGTCTTGAAATTCTAAATAATTTTATTTTTGAACTTGTGTTTTATAAGTGAAGTCAATGAAGGGATGATAGACATGCACATGAGAAGAGGAGATAATGCTCATTAACTCATAGCATTAAATGTTCTTATATTTGCATTTAGAACTGGCTTGCACAATATAAGATTAATGGTTAAAATTCATGGTAACAATTTCAAATTTAAATTTCTCCTTACTTGGAATGGCATTAAATAGAAAATAAAAACACCATCAGAAGGTGTGAAAGAGAGACTACTGAAGAAAGAAAAAAGCTTTGTATTTTAGTAGTTATTTTAACAGCACTTTCTTCCAGCCTTTTAACAAGGGCCCTGCATTTTCATTTTGCACTGGGAACTGCAAATTAAGCACTCAGCCTGACCATCACCTAGGAAGTGAGAGAGCAGGATTCAAACTTAGAGTCTCTCACTTCAAAGCCTGCATGCAACCTGAAGCACCTTCTAGGTTCAGAGAAAGGACTTACTGATTCTGGAGCACTTTAGGAAAGAAAAGGTAGAGGAAGAAGCAGTGGTGTGCTGGAACCAACTTGTCCAGCTCCTACAGGCTCCAGAGAAAGGATGGGTCGTTTGATTTTCAGTTTTGTATACCAGCTGTTAAACTCGGCCATTACTAAAAATTAAGCTACATAAACTTAAATAAGTTACAACAAAACAAAGGTAATAAATACTCAAAACTCGTTACTTCCTAATTTGTTTACTATTCTCTAGGCCCTTGAGGTTATTTATGCTTATTGTATCTGTATGCTGGAAACACTGCAATGGTGGGTTATTGCCCATTTCTTCCCAACTTCGCATTCAGTGACCTCACATTGGTAGACTGAAATCAGCCACGGCAGAAGTATTTACAACATGAACATCAACAAATCCTCCCAACACCTCTCCTTCCCAGAGAACGAGTTGTTAAATATTTACCAGCGTGCCACTGCGAGAGGTACCTGAAATTCATCCTCAAGAATAGATGTTGGGTGAGGGCGCTTTAAAAGTGCAGGAAACAACTTGAACAAATGCATTAAAGCAGAAAAGTAGAGGCTGCTTGTTCAGGAAGGAGCAAATATTCCAGTTTGAGAACAGCATTTGATGGGATAAAAAAAAAAAAGGTAATCTGGGCATCTATTGTAGAGGAAGCAGAATGTCAAGGTGAAGGGCATGCACATAACACTATAGTACTGTGAGAGTGTGGGTGTTCCCTGATGGAGGCTGCACTCAAAGCAGCTATCGATCATAGTAAACATTTGGGCATTTGCTGGGACTTAAAGTAAGGCTGTTACGCACGTTCCTCACTATCAAGGGAAAATTCTTACTAAGTGTAACAGCATGTCAGTTCATAGACCCACCCAACTTGCTAAACACAGCTGTGGTGGAAGAATGACTTCTCAGTGAGACAGCAGCCCAAGCCACAGGATCTTTCCTGAGCAAGGCCCAAAATACATCAATCTGGGAGAAGCATCGTTTCTCTAAGATTCGGTCTTGCTGGTTATATTTCTGTGCCATTGTGGAAAGTCTGCTATCCCCAAATGGTCACAGAAATTGGAAAGAAATGGGATAAACAATTCCTTATGTAAATTACCCCCAAGGAAAATCTTCCTGACCTAATGGCCAGCATGAAATACTAACCAGATCTCCATGTTCTCAATTTGGTTTTACGTATAACAGCCAAGTTTACTTTGTTCTCCATAAGAGCCAAATGAATTTAGCAGAATTAACATAGTAAAAAGGGCTGGAAAACGTAGACCCATCAAGATTTAGATCTGTCCCACCAAGGCCTAGAGGATCTCGCTGCTCACCTGGAACTGCAAAACGAGGCCAACCAGCTGCTAGGGCTTAAATCTGAAGGAGAGTGATTTTTCAGTGCTCATCACTGGCTGTGCAAGATGTGTGTTCCCTGGTGTTCAACAGAACTCAAAAAGGGAGGGGTTTAGGAAACAATACATGCTAACGATTTCAAACACAAATGTGTTGATGGCCTTTGTTTTGCTTTTTCGAATTGAAGGTTTTCAAATAAAATGGAGACCCCAAAGGACATCTATGTCCAACTGCCATATCAGTTGATGCCAAAGTAATGAGGCAGAGGCCCAGGGAGCTGCTTGCAGGAAAATGCTCAACTCATAAAGTGAGTGTGAAATTAATCCCAAATACTTGCAGCTGCCAAGATCGGCTCTAAAATTGGTTACAGGAAAGCAGGAGCAGCAAAGCAGAGCAGACATGAATCATACTGTGTGAACACAGACATGTCCAATTCCTTCACCTAAACTCACCATCAAAGCTGCCTCCATATCTCATGTGTGGCACACAGAACTCTATTACATTGCTGTTTAGCTGTCATTTACTGAGCCCTGACTGTGGGCCAGGCACCGTGCTAGTGCTGTTATATCCAGATTATCACTTGGTCCTCATGACTACCCTCTGAGACAGGAACTGTTGATCCCTGCAGCCCCCATTTCCAGATGAGGAAACAGAAGCTTAGTGCTCAGATGAGCTTAGTGCCCGTGGTCAGGAACTACAGCA